CTAGAGTTCTGTATCGAGTTCCATTCAAGTAAAAACTAGTTGTGTCATCATTTTTCCAATCCATCTCAATTACTCTAAGGAAAACAATTAAAAACCCATTTGGTGTAGTTCAAGATTATTTTTGTAACTAATTAAAACATATTCTTTTTTTACAGAGCCGCCGGCACAGCAGGTGCTATTGTAACATGTCCTCTGGAAGTAGTGAAGACTCGGCAGCAGTCTTCCAACAGTTTCCAAATCCATCGAGTAAACTTGCCTAGGATAGCCTCCACTGATGGTAGCCATGTCACGTGTAAAACCTTGCTGCCACCTCACCAGAGGCGAAGACTTACAACCATGGCAGCACGTCACACTCAAGTCCTTTCCATTTCGCACTGTGGAATGGCAGGTGGACCTAGCATCAAGAGTATGAGCATCATTCAGTGCCTTCGGTGAGTCAGCCATTCTTTTTTCAATCATATTCATTCTGCTTTATTTTACTCTCAATAATTAAAGGTGCTTCTGCTCCTCCAATCTACTAACCCGTCACCCATTTCCATCTACTGTAATCTTAGTTTAGTCCTAGTCAGACCAGGTTTTCTTATGCTCTTTAGGCCATTCAGCAATGCATTAAATGTATTTTTACAAATTTAGAAGATATTTTCTTGCCGGGTGTACATATAAATGATAGGGCCCTGATTAAGATGGGTATCTCTAAGAGACACTTAAAATGCAGGGTTTTAGGCTCGGCGTAGTAGGCCCGCTCTACTCTACACCTGCATAATTCACAGAAAAACCTAAAAGGAAAGAAGGCTCATGGAACACCCTTTATTTAGAATTTGGAAAAATGTACATACTTTTACCAAATTTGGAGTGACGGGTGACAGGCCAGATCGAAGGAGCACATTGGGTTGAGTTACTTGAGCCACAGCAGCAAACCCTCCAGTATTTCATCTGCCCCCGAGCGCATGGCTTCTTCGCCTTAATGATGGGTCATCGTTATCTCAGTGAACTTTCCGCCCGCCTCAAGTGCGTTACATCGTCACAATGATCAGAGGTCTCTAGCCTCCTCGCCGTGACCTCCAGCGGCCGGGCCGATGCACCGCTGCCTCATGCACATTCGTACTTTGCTAAAAGTATTTTCTCGATTTCAATGGTCTCAAAAACTCAACTTTGGGCATAGCACTTTTCGATGCGTCAAATCCTATTTGCAGAGAGGTTTCCAGCGAAAACATTGAAATTGCACGAGCCGCTTCAGCCCCTTCCCTGATCCGCCCCTTGTTCAGCTGCGCTCTCTCGCCAGGCGCACCTTTAGGCCGCAGCACGGTGAACCGAAACCGGTTCCGTCTGACGAGCCGCCAAGCCAGCCGGGAGGGCCGAGCCGAGCCCTGTGTTGCAGGCCATTGGCCGAGCCGAGCCGGGTCGTACCTCGCGCTGACCCAGGTTGGTTTGAGCGAGGCGGGTTAAAAATAAGCCGGAGACCCGCTCGGCCCTGCCGCAGTACTCCAGTGCAGCGCGGGGAGGGTAGTAGCAGCCACCGGCTACCCGGGGTGGTAAGGCGTCGCGGATGAACCCCCTTGATCCGGCTCGTTAGACACGGCTGGCTTGCTGCAAGGCGAGTCACTTGTCAACTTGGCCGCGTTGGAATTCCGCCAAACTTTGGTCCGTTACGCAAGTCGGCGGGGTGCTCGCGAATAAGGCCGTCTGCAAGTATCGAGCAGGATTGTGTCCCCCCCGGAGCCATTGCATTTCTGGGGGGTGGGCGGTGGCGCGGGCCCCGGGTGGGGTGGGCGGCGGCGGGGCGGGCCTGGGGCGCCTCCCCGTGACCCTCTCCAGCCGCTCTCCCCCTCGCGAGCCCTGCTAGCCGCCGCTCCAAGTTCCAAGTGGGGCGTTGAAAGTTGCAGAGACCGCCGGAGCGACCGCTTGCATCGTCGGTGGGGATCTGATACGGCGGCGGCCGACGAGCAGCGGCTGCAGCGGCAGCTAGAGAAGAAACCTTTGCCAAACCCGCCGTCGTCGTCTCCCTCTCACCCTCCCTCCGTAGAGCCACCCGGTCGGCCGTGCTGCACCTCCCCAGCGCCGTGGCGGCCTTGGTTACCCTATCGCCTCGCTGCAGGGCGGCCCGCACCATACACGACTACGTAGATCGCGCGTTGCTCTTAACTGTCTCAAGTGGCTTGTTTTGTCCTGCGGACGAGACGCGCCCGCCTGAGCCTAGCTCTGCCGAAATCAAATGGACTCCGCCGAGCGAATTGGCGGGGCAATCGCTGCCCCGGGCGGCTGGCGTTTGCACAGCGCTACACCGCACGGTGTCTATAGTCTCTATAGTCGTGCCCTCCTCGCCCTCACCTCGTGGCGACCCCCACGAGTGCGACAAGGACGGAGCGGAATCATGTGTGCAGGTAAACTCGCGTGGCCCACGAGCCATATGTGACATGTGGCGACGCGAGTACTGTACTCGGTATCCCTGGACATTTGGTGCGTTTGCGATTCGGCCGGACGCGGCTTATGTCACTCTGTTTGCCCCCCCGATAACCGCGAGCGGCGAGCGCGCCTCTATTCTGCCCGCGACGCGATGAGCCCCGGGCCGCCCGCGATTGGGGGAGCAATTCGGCGATGATCCGTCATGCGGCGATAATGTGCCGAGGCGCTGACGCACGAGCCCGCGCATCCTTATCGCCGCACCGCGCGCCACGGCGGGCGCAGCGTGGCGCAGCGTGGCGCAGCGTGGCGCAGCGTGGCGCAGCGTGGCGCAGCCTCACCGCGGGGAGATGATGCTGTGGCGAGGAGCACACTCGCGTTCGCCGCGGCGGCGGGCCATGGCGACAGGCGGCACTTGGTGCAAATAGTCGAGGTGGAGGCAAAGTCGACGACACCAAGTGCAGTTAAGTGAAGAGGGGAAAGTCCCTCGAGACTATGCGCCAGTGCTAGTCTAAGCTGCTGTACCCAACTAAGAACTTACGCTAACGCCACGCTGAGCGCAGCGTAGCGAAAACACACTTCTACCGGCTCCCCACCCCCAGCTCACGTCAGGGATCATCCAGAAAGTGTGCCCGTATTCGCCGTTGTTCAGCCTGTGCAAGCTCCGAGGCAAGCTCTCATGGCGCCTGATCGGTAGGCAACACCGTGTCTGCAGGGCATGCGCGTACTGTGGGCTGGCCTACCCTAAGTCTCGCGGGCGTCGAAGTCCTGTTAATTGCCTATATGAGGGAAAAACGGACGAAACGGACGTACATTCTTGACGAACTCTACGCAGGTGTTGATCACACTGCGCTGTTAACTCTAGTCTGCTATGTGTCCTGCACCCTTTGCCCTGCACCCTTTGCCCTGCACCCTTTGCCCTGTGTCCTGCACCCTGTGCCTTGCGCTTGCCCGTTCCTGACAACGGGGCTGCTGGTGCTTGTGCGGCTTGACCTCGGCCGCGTCTAATCCGGTCCGGAAAACCAGTCTCGCGTTCAAAACAACAGGACGCCTCACCGCCGCCGCCGCTGCCTCCACACTTTTGTTTTTCGTTCTCTCTGCTGTTTCTCTTTTTTTCCCGAACGATATTTTCGGCGACTTGTTTGTCATTTTGATGTCTCGTTGCCTCGGTGCGCGCGGCTGCAGGGGGCCGTTGTTGAGGGGGGGGGGGTGGCAGGACAGGACACTGGCACTCGCGCCGGCTGCGTGCGCCCCCGGCCCCCACGCCCCCCGCCGCGCCCCCGCTGGCGTCCAATGGTTGGCACCGCTCTGGGAGGCGTGCCATGGGCGTGCGCTGCGCGGGGCCGACATGCGTGCACATGCGTCGCCTCCCTTCCTGCCGCGCGCCCCGCGCCCCGCGCCCCGCCGCTGTGCAGTGCGCGAGCGTCAACCTCGCTGCAGCCGGCGCGGGGGCGGGGCGTCGGCCAGGCACCAGCAGTGGGCGTCGGCGAGCGAGAGGGGCTCAATAAGCTCAACCGGTGCGGGGAAAGTTAAAGTTGGCGTTGAATTTCGGGCTTTGGCTCAAAGTGCTCGCCCGACCCTCGGCAGCGACCTTATACCCTCCAAGACATTCCCTGATTGAATCCTCTGATCGGCTGGGTCGCGGGGCCGGGCCGCCGCGCCTATCGGCGGCGTGCCCGTGCGGAGCGGCTCACCTCACGTCAGCAGCGACTCACCAGAGTGAACGTGCCAATGAATATTCCCGGCCCGAGGCGCGCCAGCGGCACGCCTCAGCGCCTCTTTAGCGCGGCCGCCCAACGCTTCCGCGGCGGCGCGCTGCTCGTCCGCCCTTTGAGGGGCGGTGTATAATTGAGGCGGCAGTGCCAATCAGCTCTAAACGCCATCGGTATGACAATCTTTGTGCCAGACACACACTGTGTGGTTGTTGCGCAATTGGCGGGGAGGCGCCAAGTGCCGGGGCGCGCGTCGCCGGTGAGCGCTGATTGCCTCTCTGAAGTGGTCCAAATAGGGTCATATGCTGCTCCGTAGGGAATAATGTGGGTCTCCGATGTACCTCGCGGAGAAATGGCGACGGATAGACGGAGGCCGCCGTGTAAAAAACGTGTCGCTTACCGCCGCACTGTACGACCTGTATGTGCACTGGGCTTTTTGTCATGCGGTGCGTCGTTGAGCTAGTTTTGTCCTCCCTCCCCAAGGGCCCCGGGGAGTACCCTCCGAGATAAGGGGGCCGCCCGCCTCCTCCTTTGTCTCGCGTCACGTTCCTCTCCCCTGTGCTCGTCGGCTCGACGTGTGCTCCCCCTGTGACCCACTTACACAGCCACACTACGTCGTATACCACCACTCTTGGTACAAGTGCGAATCGACACAGTATCTGTAGTCCAGGGGGATATGTAGTTAGCGACTAGTAGGGTTACCGATTAGGGTCCGGCGGGGAGGAGGGTCCGCCCCAACTCGCTCCAGTCCATCACTCGTGCGTTTTAGGTGTTCATAGTTCATAGCGAACGCACTAACTGTCGAAAATTCGTGCTGGAGGCGGCTGGGGCGGGGACCCTCCTCCTCGCCGACCCTACTCGGCGACTCTACAAGTCGCTAGCTACATATCGTCCTGGTGCCCGGCCCGCACTGTCTCCGCTGCTCGGCAGTGTCCGTGAGGTGGTAGCCTCTGTCTCCCCTTATCAGCGGGCTGTCAACGCCGTGCGGGCGCGGCGTTATCTGTGTGACGGGCACCAAAAATAGTGGCGTATGTGTGCGTGTGTGTGTGTGAGAGAGCGCGCGCATCTCGAGAGTTTTGTTTGTCGCTAGCTGGAGAAGGGAAAGCGAGCCACTGCCATCAGCTGATTTTTGAGCGGACAGCGTTGCCGCGTTGCTGCTGTGTTGTCTTTCTGAATGGGTTGGTGTAGGTGGGCGGTTATTATTGTTTCCCGTCGGTCACACTTCGGTTCAAATGCGCACAAAGTCGCCAGCAGCAGCCAGCCAGCTCGTGGACTGTACAACAAGTCGTGCTAAACAGCAGCCGCGTACTGCGACTGCGACGAATAAGGCCCTGTGGGGGAGGGGAGGTGCCCGAGGGGGTAGGGGGGGATTTTGATGTCGGATTGACGGCCGGTGCCACCGGGCGGACCACGTGAGTCGGGCCGTATTTTTAGCGTGATAAACAGCCGGCCTAGCGAGTGTCGCTCAACGTGAGGAGGCTTGTGTTGGATGGATAGATGAGATGGATGGGGGAAGGGGAGGGCCGCATTGTGGAAAGTCGGACTATCAGCCGCGCGCTCCTAATGAAGCCCGAAATAGACCGAGTCACGTGACAGTGCGCCTGCCGCTGCGCGGCGGGAGCGAAACTTGTCCTGCAGGTGTGGAGGGGAAGGCGGGAAGGGGTCCGCCCTCCGTCCTTTCTTGTTTACGACCTTGGGAAGGTCACGCGGGCGGTTGGGAGGGGTATGGAGGTAGAAGCGTGTTGGGTGCAGCAGAGCCGCAAAGTTTTACTCGAGCTCTGGTTTTACAAATGTTTGACTCTTGTGCTCTCCTTTGCCAGGCACATCATCGAGCGCGAGGGCCCCCGCGCTCTCTTCAAGGGCCTGGGGCCCAACCTGGTGGGCGTGGCGCCCTCGCGGGCCATCTACTTCTGCGCCTACTCGCAGTCCAAGGAGTTCCTCAACACCACCGCCCTGCTGCCGCCCAACTCGGCTGCCGTCCACGTCTGCTCTGCTTCGTGCGCGGGTAAGTCACAGCAACCACCTCCTCCTCCTCCTACCGGGTGTCGGTCGGTGAAGGCCGCCGCCGCAGCCGGGCGGCCGCGGCCCGCGTGGCTCCTGTACGACAAGCCAGCAGAGAAGCCCCTCTCTCTCACCGCCGTGTCTGCTGACGCGGCACTCCTTCCCTATCGAAGGACCCGCCCCATCATCTTGTCTCTCTCGAAATATCCGACCGCCGCTGCTATTTCTGTATGAGCGAGTGTGTCCTGTCCCGACCGGTCCCGACCCTCCGCCGCCTCCTTACCTTGGCGGCGATATCTCGCCTCGGCGAACTTGTTCGCCCGCGCTTCCTCGCTGAATCTGTACGCGCCGGCCCTGGGGATGGGGAAGCTCGCCCACCAGTATTTTGCGAAAAAGTGGTTAATGGTCGTGGGCTGTCTTATCACGATAGGAAATACTACGCGGCATGGTGCGGCGCTCGCGCTGTCCCCACAGCCGAGCCGTGGTGACGGGGGCCGAGCAGGGCCGGGCGGGGGCG